AGGGAAAAGAATGGGAGAAGGCCCTATAGGGAAAGGGTCATGAGCAGTTAATTCAACACACAGGCCTTCAGTGTGGCAAGAAATATGAGTCACACCAAACATCCTAAAGTGCTAAATGCATAATTTTACCATTTCAGACGCACAAAACTAAGTCAGGTTTGAGCTTTTTGGGGTTTTTTTTTTGCTCCTGTCAACACAGTGTACCAGCTTCGGAGAGGCCAAACATCACATAATGAACTCACAAGATCAACAGTTTGGTTCACAACATCCACAGTTTATATTAAAAATATAACATCTGCACTCAGTAAGAACATTATTAATCAGGAAACTTCAAAGAATCTCACTTCAGAGCCCATTTAGTCACTGTTGTGGAGATTTTGACCAGATCACCATCAACGTGACTAAATGCACCTAAAGATGAAATACTTTAGTTAAGAATTCATTCTGAACATCAATCACACAGGTGGTGTTTTATGTTTTAGCCCATCTACACTAAACTGCATAAAGTTATTGTTAATTATGGTCTGTAGTATCACAATGCTTAGAGAGTGAAAAACGCTTCTTTCATATGTTTCCATTGTTGTTGAACCAATATGAACATCAAGTAACAATGACCTGAATTTGCTTGAGACAGATGCCAGTGAGCTGTGTGGAGTTCTTATTTTGAGAAATGTAGTGATGTCGGTTCTGATTGTTTGGATTGGGGTGCTAACGGAAGGCTTCTACATTTGTGCTTAAAATCCCCTCTTTAACTGCTGCCAAGTGCGTTAATTTACCTCCACCTGTGTTTCTTAAGACTCCGATTCTCAGTTGGCAACACATGCTTTGGTGCTATAAAGAAAAAGTGTCACCCGACGATACAACACCTCTAAATCTGGTGTGGTTCTCTGGCAGCATCACCGTATTAAAAAGCTCCAACTTTAACTTCGTGCTCCGAACACCCCCTAAACCTGTGCTGTCTCTAAAAAGAAAAAAAAAAGAAAACTGGAATGTTCACAGTGATCACTTACGGCATCTTACGCAAGCTTCAAGTCACTCCAAGTTTGAAATCATAAGAACTGAAACTAACATGAAAAACATGAAGACTCACTCATAAATCTGCATGTTTGCATCGTGGATGGGACTAATGGAGCTCAATACGTCTCACAAACAACAGTACGGTCGTATTAGTGTTTTACATACTTCCAAAGTAACTCTGTGATGTTTGAAAGATCGCTGACAGAAATCAAAGGTTGGCTGAAAAATAACCTTTCATAAAACAGCTTCTACAAATCCATTGTCTTCAAAGCGATGGCACCAGTCAGCTCACTAAATAACTACATCTAAAATATGCCCACCGTCATCTAAGTGGATGTGACGAGGGCACAAATGCAACATTATCAGGCTGAGAAAATGACTTTGATATGAATAAATGCTATGTGATCAACTGAACCAGAGCAATAAATAAAAATCTTAATCCTGCATCTTTTACATGATAATTTTACAATTGAACTTCTACAGTGCATTTCTGATATACTCCGTTAGACAACGAGGAGAAACAAATCATTATTTCAATTTGTTACTAAGCAATAAAAACATCTCCAGCATTGTTCTGATTCTGTTCCATCGTAACTGGCACATTTTTCTTTTACAATTTCCGATGAAACTATTGGCTTTTAAACGGTGAGTTTAAAAGCTCCCGTGAGTGCGATCAGTAACGGAGACAGACGGCTGAGCGGCCGTCCGTCCGACAGCAGGTCAGCGATTCAGCTCGTTGGTCAGTCAGAAAGACGGGCAGACGTCGAGCCGGCCGCTCGGTGAGTCAGACGGCCGGCCTGCCGCTCTGTTCCAGTCAGTGCAAGTGATCAGTGCATCAGTAGTGTGTTCAGAATCAAGTCCCACCACATCGGATCAACTGGCCCGGGCCTGAAGCCACTGCAGTGGTGCTCAGCCCCTTTGAAAATTCAAAAATATTAAATATGACACTTAATTTGCATATAAGATGTTTTGTACATTCTTTATCATCTCTTGCAGCTCTCTTTAGCTCCTGGCCTCCGAGTTGAGAACAAATACTTCCTGGCAACTGAGACGTTTTACATGTAGTCCGACAGCTGGACCTGCTGATGGTCGACACAGGGGTCGAGCAGCTCAATCAAGCTGAGGAAATAGTTGCCAAAAGCTTTTTTGTATTCTAAGAACAGGGGCGAGTCTTTTTAAAAAAATGGCTCCCATTGCGCTTCCAGGATTTTGAATAATGCTCTTGCAGCAGCCAATCACAGGCCGGCGTTGCAACGTGCAGATTATTGCAGGAACATCCTTAATGTTGTACGCAGCCGGTCCGCCTGAAACAGCGCGCTTTTGTGCAGCCAGTCAACGTTTTGTCAGCTGGTGTTTTTAGGTATTCAGTTCTCAGGGTTTGACACAGTCCATCACGTGAATGTAGTTACACCATTGAGCTTCTAAAGCACTTCGTCCATTTGGCCCATCGACATCAGTTCCTTCCTGACAGTCAGTCTCTCCAACGTCCACATCTGAGTGACCCTCATGACAGCTGATGCAGCTGCTAGTTATGTGCTTGGCGTTTGAAAACTTCTCTTTAAAAGTTTGTATAAGCCCTCAATCCTGAAGCTGGTACTTCCTATCCAGTGCAACAGTGTCCTTACAAGTCAGGATCTCACAGAGCTCTGATGGAAACGGCTTGGAGACAGCAACAACTTCAGGTTGTGGGTTGAAGTCCCCAAAACACACACACACACACAAAATCAAGATTCATCTGTGATTGTGTTAGCTGAGGATTGAGGGCGTCTCATCTTTTTGGACAATATGTATTTTAGGCGTTGCTTCTTCATTTGCCTGTTGAGCTTCAGATGTCAGAGTGAGTCTCTGTGCAACCGGCTGCTGACTCAGAGCTGATGCTGTGTGACGCCTCTGGTCATAGCGGCTTGTCAATCACTGCTACTCCTGAAGGAGTGAGAAATGACAGTCAGTGAGTTTTACAAGCAGGCAAAATGTGTCCAGTCCTGTCATATTTGTTTCTCTCTGTGACTTAGAAGTATTGATTGTGATGGGATGAGCTGAGACCTACCAGCATAGCTTCGTCCGTTACTCATGTTGGTGGGAATGAGGCTCCACTTGTCTGTGGCCGGGTTATAAAACTCTACAGAGGAAAGGTTACAGGACCCATCGTCTCCTCCAATCACGTACAGCAGCCCGTTAATGGCACAGACACCTTGAGAAGAGAGTGGTACGCATTAAACAAGTCTGCATGTTCACTGATTTTTAGCCACTTATTTTATGTCTGTCTTGGTTCTGATAAATCAGAATCAAACTGGTAAACAAAACTTACAGCAACAACATGACATGGTGCCATCGTCTCGTCAACATTAGCGTACAGAAACATAAAATTAATATCTTTGATTTTATGGCACAGAACAGGAATTTTGTCTTGAAGCACCAGTTTGACAGCCATCGCACACTGTTCATGTATGGCAAAGTACGACTTATATTACGTAGGTTTTAATTTTGTTTCAGCCACTGTTCTGTAAACGTCCAATAGGTGCTTCACAGGTTTAACTTCTTCATTTTTTACATTTCTCTGGAGCCAAACTGGCATTGTAGCATCCTGCTGGAGGTTTTCACTTCAACAACAGAAACACATACGTGGGTTCATGATGTTTTTTTGCAGTTTATTAGCTATTCTGGTCAATCTGTTCTGCAGTTTGAACAATAACGATTTTTTCAGGTATCCCCATCTATCCACCAGTCATTCTTTAGTGAACGATCAGCATGACTTTCAAACATTAAAATCTTTCACGGTGGTTAGGAATTTGACTTCGACACACCTACTGGTACAAAATTTTGGCTCCCTGTCAAAAGCCTCACTTAGTGCTGACACTCTAGAGACGGTGCTAAATGCTTTTTCTTCATGGTCACAAAGCTTCTGCCTGCGACTCTGGGATCCTTACAGTATTGGATTTTAAATATAATGTCCCTGAAACTGACTTAAAGGTATTAGAGGCAGTATGGGGACGAATTCTTAGGAAAGGGAGAGTATCATCAATCATTAATAGAGCCTACTGGACCCGATCCAGCCTGCACACAGAAGGTTTGGTTGACAACTCAGAGTGCTGGAGGCGTCTTGACGAAAACTGGACTTTAGCACACATGCTTCAGAGACGCCTAAACATTTGATCTGCTGTACATATCATGACAGGAGAAGGTAGATTTCCATTTGACCACCTGTCTCTGCATTGACACACTTGAGTCCACGACCACCTGCTGCTGGGACCCAGACTGTATTTATGCTGGGGGGGAACCTCTGGCTAAAGAATGGAAAGTCTTCTCTCAAACAGCACCGTCTTTGTGGCCCAGCTCTCTTGCTCAGCTGGCTACAATGATTATCATTTAGGCTGCTAGGTAAGGCTGCAACGGGGACAGTACCACTCTTATACATCAACTGTTTAAAGATTCAAGCTCATAACGACTTCACAAAGTGTGAGTAAATGGCAGGCTTATTTTGCTAAAATGCTGTAAACTTTTAAGCATTCCATGCCTGTCATTTTTTATTCTAGACATTTATTCTTTTGCTTTGTCTTGTTTTTTGTTTTGTTCTTGTATATGTTTACAGTGTTGTTAATATGTTATATTTATGCTCCATCGTAACTTGTGACATGTGTTTATGTTTTGTCTGTGGTGAAACTATTAATAACTATTATTGATTTTTTTTTTTTTTAAATCAAATTTCAAATCAATAAGATACTACATTCTTTTAAAAAAATGACAGCTGACTGAATGTTTATCAGTAATCAAATAATTAAGGAAACTCCAGGATCAAAAACTCAGTCAGCTTTTCCAAGGCAGGCCATAACCTTTTCTACACTTTGCATAAACAGCAACTAAACTTAACTAAGCGTGCTGTGTGTCTGTTCTTTGTCTGACCTGCGTTTCGTCTACACATGTTCATGTCGCACACCAGTCTCCAGCTGTTGGTCTGTGGGTCGTACACCTCGACGCTCTTCCTCACCAGAGGACCGTCATGTCCACCTGCTGCATACAGCTGACCGCCCAGCACACCCACACCTGGACAAAAAGAACACAGAAAAATGTTGCAGAGCTGTGTTTTGGTAGCAGCTGACCATTATTTACACTATAACTTAATCTGCCAGCTAAATGTTTAACCACTGAACAACACTGAATGCAACATGTCAGAAAATCTAGCAAGTTGCCTGTTATGATTTATTAAAAGATAACGTATTGAAATGAATTTTCTTAATCTGGCCATAACTCAAAAAATATTAGGAAGACTTAACCAGTAAATACTTGCTTAAAAATTACTAAAACTAATTATTTATCATTATTGTCAGCTGATAGACTTAATCGACTAATAACTGCAGCTCTAGTAGTTGTGATAAAATCATTTTTATTCAGTTAAAACAGTAGATTTTTTGCAAGCAAGAGGAGGAAACATTTCTTTGTTTTGTTCAGGTGGACTGTAATGAATTAAAATAAATTTTTCGAACATTTGTGCAAATACAACAGTGGCCAAAGTCCACCAGAGGGTGCTGTTGCTTCATAAGAAATTATCAGTAAGCTCAATGCTGTATCATTACCTGTTAAGGCAGCATCATGTACTATATAGGGCTTCTCTAAATCAACTGATAATGGTGGCTTTAGCCATATAATATACCTGAAAACTATATTAAGCTGGAAATGAGCATCTCCAGTGTGTAAATTTAAATTTTTTTTTTCTCCATTTTTTTTTTCCATTTCATTTTTTTGCTCTTTATTTTGTACTTTATTATGTATGGCACTGAAGGAGCTGCTCTCAATCTCATTGTACTTGTGTATAGTGACAATAACGGCATTCTATACTTCTAAATGTGAGCCTCTTTTTTGGAGAGGCACTAATTATGGTAAAAGCAGAATTCTGCTGCTCCTTCTATGCATTTTTTATGTCGAGTAGGGCAGGATACAATGCGCCTTTGTTGTGCTGTGTTTACCTGCTCCACTTCGACGTGTGCTCATGTCAGCTACATAACACCACTGATCAGACACTGGGTCATACTCTTCCACTGTGCTGAGACACTGACGTGAAGCTCCGTCATACCCTCCAACTGCATACAGCTTACCTGGAGGCAAACACACCAGCGTTAGAGTAAATGATATTTAGATTTTGTGTTTTCATTGAAATGGCTCGCACGCTCTTTTTCTTACCATCAACCACCCCTACGCCCACACTGCTGCGTCGGGTGTTCATGGAGGCTACGTACACCCACTCGTTGGTTTTATAATTGAACGTCTCTACTGTTGACAATCCTGTAACAGAGATGCAAAGAGACGAAGGGATACAGACATGATACAGGCTGAAATGTAGACATAAAACAGAAAAACAAGCAGAAAGGCCGACACAAAGGTGAACAACAGTAAATGGTTACTGAGTGTGTTTTGTGCATCAGTCTGTGGGTGTTTTGCATCGAGCTGAAAGGCGTGTTAAGGTTACATCCATGCTAATACATTTTTGTTTTTGAATGTCATTTTGAAACAAAAACAATCTCTGCGGATATTTTGCAAAAAATGAACATTGTCCTCCACATTTGAGCTCCTAATCCAAACACAGACGGTGTTTGAGGTCCCTCAGCCTGAGTGTATGTGTTACCATGTGGATATGGAAAGTGGACAGTTTGGATGAGGTGTTGATGTCAAATGTCAATTTGTGAATTCCCATTGTTACTTTGTGTAATAGTCACGTGCCTGAAACAACAACGGTGGATAAATACCGGTTTCCTATGATTTGGTTGGCACCAGCAGTTACAACTTTACAACTTAACTTCACCAGCACACAAAAGCCTCTGCATCCGTATCCACAGTTTAAAGTCCTTAGAAAATAAAAGAACTCTCTTTAAAAACTGACGTATCGTTTGGTCCAGCATGTTTATCACACTACGGTCTCTTGCGTATGGACATATTTTGAAAAATGATGGTCGTGTGGACAGCTGTGTTTTTAAACTGAGAGGGAAGAGATCAGTCTACAAACATTTCCAAAGGTCCTCAAAATACTCTCTGTCCATACTAATGAAAATAAGAACTGAAACTAACTGAAAACACAGATCACATGACCTTTCATGTACACTGGGCAGGGACTGGACTTACTGGAAAATACCACAGAGGAAGAACAGTAACGGTGAAAAATAGGATAAGAAATGTATTTGCCTGGACAAATGACAAGGTGATACTGCTACTGAAAGCACAAGTTATAAAGCGGTGATGGCGGCAGAAAACATAATTTGGGAGCCGTGGCGTCACAAATCAGTGAAGGACACTGATAAGACCCAAACAGGAAGCGAACGTTGGCGTCATTGTTTAAAAAAAGCCTTGCTTTCTTTCTATTCAGACTGAATCACAGTGTTGTCAAACTGAAAAAAAAGGTCAGCAGTGTTTTCGAAAGTCTCAGTTTTGGAAGTACTAGAGCAGAGGGAGGCTCGACAAAAGTGTAGCTAATGTTATACGTTTCATAAAAAAAAAACAAAAAACGTATCAGTGTGGATGTAGCCCTAAAGAAGAAAATGGCTCCCCTGTCTCCTGACTTTACTGTTAACATTTGTGCTACTATAAGCAATTATATCTGCTCACCCTGGTGGTAAAGTAGAAAGAGACCAGCCAAATAATGCTGCTTTGAAAAAAAAAAAAGGGATACACATTTTTGTAATTTTGCATATTTCTTTTAGGCTGAACATACTTGACCTGTATATGAACTGGTGCATTACACTTCACTGTGGGTGAATGATGAATTATTTGTAATGTTAAGGAAGGGAACAAGATTTCAACACATTCATCCATCCATTATCTGTACACTGCTTAATCCTCACTAGGGTCATGGGGGGCTGGAGTCTATCCCAGCTGACCAAGGACGAAGGCAGGGGACACACTGGACAGGTGACCAGTCTATCACAGGGCTACACTTAGAGACAGACAACCAAGCACACTCACATTCACACCTACGGACAATTTAGAATCACCAATTAACCTCAACATGTTTTTGGACTGTGTGGGAGGAAGCCGGAGAACCCGGAGAGAACATAAACTCGACGCACAAAGATCCTGGGTGTCCTCACTGGGACACAAATCGGTGACCTTCTTGCTGCGAGGCAACAGTGCTAACCACCGAGCCACCTTGCAGCCCTCAACACATTCAGACCTTGTTAAAAGTATCAGTCATAAGCTGCAGACCTTTAACGATCCACCTCATTATAAAGCTTTTTCAGCCCAAACAGCCTGAACAGTACCAAGTTAAACTTCTGCAGAGCCTAAACATTCTTCGTCTTAAGTCTTGCTTTAGTTTTATAATCCCACACAATATCCAGTACTATAAAACTTATACTTTCCACTATGCAGTCCTCCAGAAATTACTATTTTCTTTAACTTTTTCAAGACCTCAAATATGTTTTGTGCATGTTAGTCACCAACAGATGCCAGACCTGCTAATAACTACTCATGTGGGTGCGTCCTGTGTACCTATGCTTCCGTTAAAGCCTCCCACAGCATACAGTAAATCCCCCAACACAGCAGCTCCCAGCGTGCTGCGCCTCTCCTGCATGCTCGCCACGGCGCTCCACTGGTCTCTGACTCCGTCGTACACGTCCACCGTTCGCTCCCGCAGCGAACTGTTGAAGCCTCCGACTGCATACACCCGCCCTCCCATAGAGACCACACCTGGGAGACGAAACAAAAGAATCTGAGCATGTCACGACAGGTGAAAATGTATTGAAACTGTTTCCACCTGAATTACATTTGGAAATGCGGTTACATTTTTTGGATGCTTAAGGTAAATGTGGTTTTGAAGGTGTTAAAACAAATTGTGTACATGTGACCTCATTGACATTTATTTCATGAAACCAACCAAAACTTTTGTTTCACTGAAGAATTACAGATTTTTTTTTTTCACATTTTTCATTTTTTGTCAAAGGTTGCCGTCAGTGCAAATGTGACTATTGTAGAACCAAACATTGTTTTAAATAGGCCTGTGTGAAGCTCGTGATGATCAGCTGATATGTTGATTCAGCTCTGAGATTCACTACATTGCACGTTTCTCTTATTGTGTCACTATACGCCCAATAGTAAACAACACAGCGTGCAGAAGTTGTTCCTCATTGTTTATAGCGTCACTATACACTGAAACACTCAAACTGACCTGCCCGGCAGCGTCTTGAAGGCAGGTCGGCTACTTGGTACCAGCGATCTTCCTGGAAGTCGTAACACTCCACACTGCGGATGGCCTTCGGAGCCTGACCACCCACCACAATCATCACCTGCACATGCGCACACAGTCAGAGTTACGCTGATCACAGTAAGGAAACAGGCAGCAGCTTAGAGCAAGGTGCACTCGTGTGATTTTTTTAATAAGGAGTACAGGTTTCATCATGTCTGTTTGTGTACCTTTGGGATGCTGATGGGAGTTCGTGGTCGTGTCCTGTCGGTCTTGATGAGGTGCCGCTGGTCGGCCGGCAGCAGGTGATACTTCATGGCTTCTATGAGAAAATCTTTGCAGGTGTTGTTGTTCTTTATCAAAGCTTCTTCCTCAACAATCTAAAACAGGGAGCACATTTCGCCTTTATTCACTAAACAAAGTAACAGTGCAGCGCTCTGTCATACACTGTGCTTTCATGTATTTGAGTAAGGAGGTTATTAAGCCTCAAGGGGTAAAAATTAGCTTGAATACAAGGTTGCACTGATTCATGTGCTGATCTCTTCTTTTATCCAGCCAATCTATTGTTACACACACGTGTGCTTGTAAAAAGAAGATGAGAAATCTGTTTGTTTTTTTGTTTTTTTGCATAAACAGCAGTGAAATCACCCTTCACTAGAGAAATTTAGCTGGGGGAAAAATGTTTTCTCTAATCCCCTACCCTGATTATGGAAAGCAGGTTTCCTGTTTGCGCGACATTAAAGAAAGCAGCTGAGTGGAAAGAGCTCACTGTGTCCCAGTTCCTTAAGTAAATGTAATAGCACTGGTAATGGGCAGTGGGCCCAGAACCTGACTAATGTACTGTACATTGAAGAAAGGAGTGAATTATTACAATATCTACCCAGCTCAGTAAATCCTGAACTACACTACTTTTTTAGTTTCAGCCATTATGGTGCAATGAACTGATGGTGAGAAGCTGTATTTCTTTTTAACAAGCTTTGCTGGAAACCAAAATATATTATCAAGCGACTACAGCCTTTTGCTACACTCCATGTGTGGGCGTAGTAGGCAGGCAGCTAGACTTGGAGTTAGATCTTGATTTGTTTTCCACTCACCAAAGAGGATTCTTATTAAGTAAAGGTCATGAAAGACCCTGGAGAGCTAATGAAACATCCTGAGGCCTGCATTCACGACAATATTTCTACACATTGAGTGATTTGGATAAATGAGAAACTTGACTGATAATTTAAGGACCAACGATGCAAGTTTAAAAAATAATTTTTGCAGAGCACAGCAGAAAATGTCCTTTACCTGTACCAGGTAATCCCTGGACAGTAGTGGAAGTCTGACATGCTCCATTAGTTTGGGCATGTACTCAAGACGAGCCGGCTTATCGTGTTTGATCCAAGATATCATTGCTTCAAACACCTGGGAGTGAGATGAAGACGAGAGTTAGAACGCAGCAATGAAGACAGCACAACAAGGTAATATTGAGACTCAGGTGATGTAACAAAGACAGAAAAAAATAATCAGATTTGTTTTTTTCAAATGTGCTCACATTCGTAATTCCAAGCTATTTTCTTTGCCCTGATTTGTCTTCAAAATACAGCGACTTGTCTGTGTCAGCACTCCACTTCACACTTCTTTGGTGTGAAAAACGCAGACTTATTTGGGATCAAAGGCCAAAACCAAGAAGAAAATGTATTTACACAAGCAGAGTTTTATCGCATAGCAACACCTGGTCAAAAGATATGTGATGTGGGCGGGATTGACGTTGGGAAGTTGCTGGGCGTCAGAAATGTGTGGGTTGAGAGGGTTTCAGACACTGTTTGACAATCTGATGAGAACTTCACCTGAAACAAAGTAAGGTTACCGGTGTGTGCATGTGACATGCCTCCCCATCTCAGTGATTTAGCTTTTGTGAGAACTGCAACGTCTGAGCCATAGATACTACGTTCTTTCATAGTGAAATACCAACATTGATTACTTCCAGCAGCAATCAGCATAACAGAGGGCGAAACACTTTGTTTTGCGCCGCACCCAGTCTGAGCAGTTATCTACTGTTCCATATTCACTGATCTGACACATTCACACTTGATCACCTCTTAATGGCCTGTGGAGCAGCTCAACCAGAGCAAATAAGGGACTGAGTGCCCCTCCTGTGGTGCACAAAGGACATCAGCGATGGTCGTTGAAGGAAAGAGGATCATTATTCAATTCCCATCGAAACTTTTTCTTCTCTTTCATGGTTCAAACTAACTTAGCATCAAAACCAAATCTGGACACCCTCTACCAACATGACACGAAAGCTCCATCCACTTCAGATTTGCACAGGCCTCACGAACAGACACATATATTGTAACACAATGCAACACAATGGCACTGTAAGTAGGCGCCTTAGTTATAGCGTAGCGATCAAAAGTAATTCTGCAATTTTTTGCTAAATTTTAGCCAAACCACAACGAAGAGTGAGAAACCCATGTTCACCTCCTAGTTTAAAAGCTAGCTTGACTATAGTATCTTCACTTGGTGAAAAAAAACTACATACATCTATAGACTAGTGGCAGAATGGCTGCAATTAGACCATCTTTCATTGTTACACCTAAATAAAGTCCAACACGAAGATTAACACAATCACTTTAGTAAGCATAGTTACAGGAGCTCTACACTGCTGGTGTGCAGGTCTCTCATTTACAGAAACAATACATGCATACAAAAAAAATACTAATTTAAGGTCCATTTCAGAGGTGTAATGGATCACAAACCCAGTGGTTCGGATAAAATCGTGGCTTCTGAGTCATTACTTTTTAGATTAGAAAGGAGACAGACACTGCTATGTCTGCTTTCAATGTGCTCCATTTATGCAAACACACAATTGTCTTGATCTTGTCACTGCAACAAAATTTAGGGAAATGTTTCTTGTCGAGGCAGAGGTACGTTTTTCAGTGTGTTTTGTTTGTCTGTAAGCAGCATTACACAAAAACCTCCCAGTACTGCATCACTTGTTTGTTTGTTTTTCTTTTCTTTTTTTTATTGAAAGATATGGAATTGGGTGGCTCGGTGGTTAGCACCGTCGCCTCGCAGCTAGAACATCCCTGGTTCACATCCCGATGAGGACACCCGGGATCTTTCTGCGTGGAGTTGCGCGGTTGTGAATGTGAGTGTGCTTGGTTGTCTGTCTCTAAGTGTAGCCCTGTGATAGACTGGTGACCTGTCCAGGGTGTCCCCTGCCTTCCCTAATTTAACTGGGATAGGCTCCAGCCTCCCCGCGACCCTAGTGAGGGCTAAGTGGTGTATAGATGATGGATGGAAGATATGGAATTGACACTTTCATAGGTACCTGTGGCAGTAAAAGTGTATTTCATTCTGTGATGATTAGACTTTGCAATTTTTCCAGTGTTCACATCAACTGTGGGTGGGAATCCGTACAGATCACGGCTCAACTACGGTCCTTTACACCACTAGTTCTTGTCCATGAATGTGACGAAACTACAAGGGCAGCAACAGGGGCACCATATTTTAGTCATGTGTGGAAGCTCTCAAAATGAAATGCCAGGAAGTTTTTTTTCCCCACAAAACTGAGTCGACCTAAGTAGTTGATCTACTAACTTAATCCAACACCAATAAAATGCAGTAAATAATTAAGTAGTAACAGAATGTGTGTGCAGATGCGGCCTGTTTGACACATCATGAAGAGTGTGACAGTGTCAAGGTCTCTCTGTGTTTCTGTCTGACTAAAGCAGCAGACACCCTGACTGCTGCTGCTCTGACAGCATGATGACACACAGCTGCTCTGTCAAAGTCTTCCTGTTGACAGTCACACATCCCACCCTCTAGAATACGTCTGCTGCCAGGTTCAACCAGTCATATACAGTAAGTGTGACTAGGGCCTTTGGTGAATTAGTTAACTGCCATTACACTTAAAACATCCTTATTCTGTCCCTTTCACAATATATCTGTTATTTCGCATTGATGAAAAATGCCATATAAATGTAATTCTCTCATATCTCGTCACTCACAAGGGGAGACAGAATCTGCCTTTATTAAAATGTACAAGTGTGTGTGTCCGCGGTGCTGTCTGACCTTTTCCTCAGTGGAGACGGTGAGTTTGTCGCTGGAGATGAGGCTGCACACCTGCTGCAGAGAGAGGCCCAGAAACTCCTCGCCCTGCACCACGTCAGTGAAATGCTGCTCTGAGAGGTCACAAACACGCAGGGTTACACACAGCGCACACTACATGTTTCAGCTGACACGCTGCATGACATACAAATACAGACAGTATTGGTCAAAGCTAAACATAATTTTCATTTGAGAAGACATCTCTGGTGTCATTTTCAACATCTAATACACTCCCTGGATATGCAGCGGTTTTCCAAATTAGGCAAAAACTGTTACATAAAAGTACCACAACCTACCACAAATGCAGTACACACACGTGGCGGCAAAGATGATTTGTGATGCAAACAGCAAAAGGCTTACCAGCGTATGCGTGGGCTTGGTTGAGAAGTTGTGTGCATGTGTGCAGGTCAGCGAAGCCTCGAATGCCCAGACAGTTGGTGGGGTGAAGCTGAGACTGCAGGAATTCACAACAAACCTGACGAACATCCATCAGCTGGAGGAGACTGGCTGCCGGCAACAGAACCTGACAGAAAACCAAAAGGGATTTTATTGGCCTGCGTATTGTGGGTCATCTTACAAATGAGTGTTTTAAAAATAACATGGCAGGGAGCAGTCGTTGCCCACCCACAGCCAAAGATTTAGAAATATGTGGTAGAAGGAAGTCAGTGAGTTGTTTATTGGCACAAATATAAGCTTTATCAACCTTGCTGGTCCATCATTTAGTTTGTTAAATCACAAACTACTCAACAAATCAGCTAAGACGATACTTGTCAATTAATTCAGCAAGCCAAACGTGAACCTCTGCAACCGATCCACCTGTTACCCAGTCACTCTATCAGCAGGCCAGCTGGATTTTTAAATTAGATCTGAAACGAACTGACCAATTAGCCAGCTGGCAGAAAATCATTTGGCAACGACTTTGATCCTTTTATAAGCAACAAAGGCCAAACATTAGATGTTCTCAAATCTGAAGACTTGCTCATTTTCTTTACTTTTTTAAAAATTTTTTATAAGAGTAAACTTAATATCTCTGGGACTAGAACTATTTGTTGGATAAAAACAATCAGTCGGAAATCAGAAAGTCTTCTGGATCAGCTGTTGGTGCCTTCAGAGGTTCTCGAGCAAAAAAAAAAAACTTCAAACAGCTCTCAAAGTCTGATGTGAATAATGTTTATATGAAAAACAGAAGCTGGAAGAACAAACATTGGTAAAATCTTGAGATTTGAACTAAATAATGAATAACGCCTTCTTATATAGTTTCTACAAATGCTTCCCAAACTCTCCTCTTTGTCTGGTCAAACCACAACCTATTCTTTCTTTAAAAAAAATACATTTTCTCCACGTCTATGTCTGGATTTAGTCATATCTGGAAGTGTCTGATCTAATCGTGGCAAGTTTTCAAATACCTCCTTTTTTTGAAAAAAGTCAGCAGGCCGTTCCAAACGCCCCTCCTATCTTCTGTCCTCCTTATACACCTGCTACTGCTCGTGGTTATCTTTTGACTGCCTCATCATTTGTCTTGCCATCCTTTCCCTAATCCTTTGTGGTGTCTCCATCCAACACCTGTTACCGCAAAGTCTTTTAACTTCAAATTCAGCTGAGGTCTGCATTTTAACCTGCCAGGTCATCAGGATCCACAAGAACACACAAGCCTCACACACAAACTCACAGGCTCATGTTTCTCTGCCTGCTTCAGACTATCTTCTTCACTCAATCACTGTATTTTCTAAGTTCTTTTATGGGTTATAATTACACGGGTTTACACAGGATTACATGAGTCTAGTTTAATCATCACTGAAACATCTGATTTTTTAGTTTTGTCATTTGTTCAGTGTAAAAATCCCACAACACCTAACACTGTGTGCCATAAGACAAAATGACTAGACATTAAGTGGCAAAATAACTGTTAATAGAGGCAATTCAGCAGTTTTCTAACAACACAAAGCATTGTATATGGCTTTGGTTTCTACAGTGAGCACAGTCAGCTACTGCTGTATTTCCTTCAACCACAACTTGCAAGATTTCCAGTATGGCACCTTTAATTAGACAGAGCTGACAAAGTGACAGTGAGTTGGTAGATATTGTAAAATGAGCACACAGAGAAGAGTACATAGAGATATACCACTGACAATATTATATGCAATACGCATTGTGTAAGACTGTAACATAGAAAAAGCTCTTGCATTATATGCCCTGTATGTTGCAGGAGCCATTTCTAAAATGTTGCCAAATTACACAACATGTGTTCATAAAGGTGTTTGTTAAAAATAAAAAAAGAAGTAATATTTCACTTTTTTCTCTATTGTGCAGCCTTCCTAAGCAGTTACTTAGATAATAAGCAGCAGTGCAACAACAAGTACTGATGACACATTACAGTAACAGACACTAAAACACTAAACGATGATTTGCAATATACTCAGACATTTACAACTCTAGGAATTTATCACAGCAGCAGTTATTTTTTCACACTGATCACAAAGTTAACATCAGAAATACAGTGTTCACGTTACAAACAAACGCACCAGGAACGTGCACTGGCATGCACTGAAGCTTACTGTCGACGATGTTACAGTGCAGCAAATGCCGGGCCAGGTGAGTTTATTTTTTTTGCTGCACAACACAGCTTTCAGTTGTATAAGAGGCTAGAAAAACGGGTCTGCCAGTGTCAACAGGGAGTTAGTCAGCGTACTGTTGAAAGCAAGAAACATCACTACACATAAGCTTAACTAGGTCAGTGAGACGGTCTCAGTCTGCCGCTACACTTCTCAGTCTATCTGCACACTCACTCATCCTCTGAGTCAGTATTGTTACTGTCTCCTCTGTTTCCTGTGCACAGCTGCCCGGAAACCTTGTGTCTTCTGAAAGGGAGCATCAGGCCCACTGACGCCCTGTTTACAGCAGCTGTGACACACTAACACGTGCACACAAAGGACTGCAAGCAGGACAAACAACACGCATTGTACAGAGAAAACACTTGGTTTGAAGAAATTGAAAGTAAACACAGTCTTTGACTGAATATTAGCCACTAGTGAAAAGACAAATTACACACTCCCAAGTGAGCCAATCAGGCAGGCACATTGCTAACAGTGGGAGGATTTCCTGCCTCTCTCCATGCACACTTCCTGTGCTAATAATCAGAGGAAGTATCCTGCCTGCAGCTGGATCAAGCTGAGCTGTGAGTGGAGCCATGCAGCAACCAAGAGTCAATGCCGTAGCGATAAACAAGGCCTCAGTCCTGTGCATTCCCAGAGAAAAACACTGCTCACAACCATTACCTCCTCTGACATCCTTTGTAGTAAACATCTGCTTCTCAAACAGGTTTGTTCTGACCATTCTGAATTTAAAGGAAAAACCAAAGACTTTAAGTGACCGGGCTTTCAAGAGCAACTTCCCTAATTGAGCATGAAGTTTTGTACAGGACACATTTACCCTCACTGACAATAAACTATAACTTATGTTATTATATTGTGATAGTCAAAACACTCATGCTTTTACCAACAGCCTTCCTGTTGATTCTATTTGTTCCTCATTTAGTCTCAAATATGCAGAAATGTTTTCAATTAAATAAGATTTTAATGATGTAGACGTCAGTCTTAAAAGGTGCAAGGAAAGGAGAGCCACTGTCACAAACTAGATTTTTGTGTTATGTTGTTTGTTTCTTGTAAATCAAAAGTTAACTGTACAGTAGCAGCGACCAGATTTTAGAGCAAAGGGCAAAATATACAGTGGTTTGGCAAAAGGGGCTTAAAGTTTTATAACTGCTTTATCCACTCCACACACAGCTCATAGAACCACTCTGAAATTCATTAAAAAAAAAAGAAAAAAACAATGACTACGGGCCATTTTGCTTGTATGAACCCCAGAGACTTTTATTACCAGCTTCTTGTTTCGTTAACCTGACATGTGCATAAACTGCTGGACAAAAAACAAAGGTCCACACAAAGAATAAGGTCAAGGAAGCAGTTACAAGACAAGTTTCCTTCTCAGTAACAAGGAAGTTCTGACTAATGCGGTTTTCTTTTTGCTGGAGGCAGCAGCGCTACTTTGTTCGTTATCCAAACTGTAAAAAAGGAGGAATGTGTGACAAAATGAGCTGAGCTGGTGTTTGAAATGCAGCTACAGCTACATGTCTGCTTGTTCAACGTTAAACCCACAACGGAGGAGAGGAATAGCTCAAAGGACTGCATGGACGTAAAATGCAAAAAGCCTACATTAGCAAGATGTTGCTAAATGGATGTAAAGCCAGCTCATGTTACCCACTTGATTTAATTGTTATTTATCACTACTCTGATTAATAAAGAATATGAATAATAAGAACAAGAAAACGTAGCCGCTGCTGCCCGCTTTTAGCCCCAGGCTGCTGCAGCAACTGGTATCAAGAAAGTTTGCTTTCTTCTGATCTTTGAGTTGAAATGTGTAGCGTTTATGACACTCTTATGCATTAATTAAACATCAGTAACAGCCTTGTTTCACCCATGACTCATGAAGATGAGGAAATGCAAGCTTACTATCAACACTTTGAGCAAAACCAGGCTTGAAGACAAACTAAAAGCAACCAGAACAGAAGAAAACTGTAAAGAAAAATCAAGTAAACATAGGAGAACACTATATGGCTCGCTCACATTCCCTTCCTCCTCACAAACACTGTCTGACACACCCTCTCACCTGGACGTTGTCTTCCGTAACTTCTATCTCAGCTGTGTAAATGTAGTCGACCAGCTTTCTCAGGGTCTGACCGTCCACTTCTCTGATCTCCACCTGATGGGCTTTGCTCTCGCTCATATCACCTGCACACAAAGAGAACAGCTGAGCACAACAGCATGCGCATTCGTTAGTTTGTCTGCCAATTACCTGTGTGTGTGTGTGTGTGTGTGTGTGTACCTGTGAACATGGCACAGAAGTAGGGGCTACAGGATGCTAAGACCACCCTGTGAGCGGGCACTTCGACACTCCCCGCCACCAGCTGGACGTCACAGAGCATCTTTTTACTGGAGGATGGCAAGTGACAGTTTTATTTATCATGTGGTCATCGTTCACCTTGTTTAAAGGTTTTAATAAGTGCTGGAAGGACAGTTGGAAAAACAAACAAAAGGTACAAAAAAAGAAGAGGTCCTCTAGCGGACTCTTGTGCAGAAACAGTTCCTTTTGTTTGTTTAATCACCTGTATTTATCAACGTGTTTGTAATGGATGTCAATATTAAAATAAACATGGAAACATGAGGTAGAAAAGATGTAGGATATCTTGATATTATTTTGAAGCACTGAATTGCTGCAGTCTGCCTCAAAATACCTTTCAGCAACATTCATGGACAATAACTGTGACTGATTTTAGCACTTTAAGTCTTCCTTCTTCAGTTCTGAGAAACCAACCATTGCTTGGTCAAGTAAGTTTCATCGCTCCCAATGTGTCAAGGCGGGAACGTAACCACAGAAAGCTGGTACGTATAAAAGTCAGCATTAAATACTTAGACTGACTTTTGGATGCTGTTGCACTGACACACAAAACTGCTAATCACTGACATGTTTTAGATAATTTAAAGGAGTTTAATCACATCTAATAATGGCAGTTGTAAAAATAACTCACAGCCATCATGCCAGCCATATAGGAGAAAATGACAAAAAGCACATCACCACCAAATTGCCAGTATTTGTTTTCAACAGTGTTACAGATTTGTTTGAAGTGAACTTTCGTGTTTAAAAATGGACCCGTTCTAGTTCTGGCAAAAGCAATTAACTGCTGCACTGAGATTTTCAAGACAAGCCTGTTGAACCAAAGACAACTGTGTGTTAATGCATTATTTCTGACTTAGAAAAGCTCAGTACAGTCTTTTAACTGTCAAGCCCAAAAAATTAAAAAAAAAAAAAAATGCAGGCCACAGTTAAACCTCTACATGTGTGCTGGCTTCAGACTTTGTGTAGGAACAAACAACACTGGCGGCAGCAGCCGCAGCAGCAGCAGCAGCAGCGCACCTTCTCAGGTCGTTCATCAGCTGAAATGCTTTCCTCATGTGCGTCTGGTTGAAGGTGTGCATCCCTCCATTCACCGTGTCCTCCTCCGACTCTGTGGTACAGTTTGGATGCGGTGAGGCCGGTGTGGCCACCAGACTGGTGAGACATGAGAGGCAGTGTCTGGATCAATGGAGATAGATGGTGACCCACCAGTTAGACGGACGACTTCATGGTGTATGTCTGGGACTTTGTGAAAGAGGATTGATGAACATAATCAAGCCTCTGCAACTAAATTTGATTACAAGAAGCAAATTGAGCTCTTTAAATATACATTTCCTCACTGTGCTGTTCCACTTTTTGTTTTTTTAAACCCACTGTTTTTATTCTCATTACTCCAAAAGCTGCAAGGGGCTGCTTCTTTGCAGAGTTCGCTGACTTTCGGTGCTGGCTATTTTTGAATGCTTGCATGACACCACTGACCCAATCTCCATTAATAATCCTTCGTACTTTGTGGTAATCTGCTTTGGTTGTCATGAAACTCAGATGCTGCATACAAGGCACTCCATAACAAAACTTTCATCGAGAATGAATGGTGTATTAACTTGTGCTAGATTTTTTTCTTTTTCTTTTTGAAGAATTAAACACTTTTCAGCAAGCTTTGTCAAACAAGAGGACAAGGTAGGCTAAGTGTGATTGGGGGAGTTCATAGTTTTGATGATTGGATTAAACACTAAAATAGATTTTTGGCAACCCTTACATACTTTTAAATACAGCTTCAGTTATATCTATCCCACCGATATCTCTTCTTGTAATAGGGAAACGCTGCAACCAGTGACCAGTGTGATTTCATACCTTAATTTGTCTGGTTAGTTTACAGGTTAAGAGAAAAAACAATTGCCAAAACATGCGCTATATCACAACATACTGTATATTGGTATATATGCACTAATCTAATAGGTTGGATTGATTGCACTAATAGGGATCTTATTTATTAAAATGAGGTATAATCCATGAGCTCAATATTATAATATAACATATTATCTATCATGTGGAGTCAAAATTAAGTTTCTATGTCAACTTTAGCATTTTATTTTTCATTTCCATTTTTGTTAATCACTTGTTCGTCCGAAGTAAAGAAAGAATAACAAAAGAATAATTCATCAATCAGTTGTATTCATTAACAGCAGTCACCAGCTACAATTATACAGCATCATGTCTCCATACATAAAAATCACTGAACCATGAATTAAGGTATACACGGAAAAACGAGAGCACAAACATCTGGTTGGTACTTCGCGTAAATACATAAAATTCCATGATCCAAGAACAGGCCCCATTCGTCCATTTCTAGATCCATTATGTGTAGAGCTAATCCATTAAACTAATGGATGTCACTTTATTTATGCTCTAACTGCACTCAATAACCATTCATGCATGCCTATATGAGCATGCTTGTTGTATTCAAGACGACTGTATGAAAGCATTCCTTGACCCATATCCAATAATCATTTTCTCAAGTCATGGTGACTTAAAGGATAAGGCTGGTGATATTACATATTTTTTCTTGAGGTCAACAAATCCCATGAAGGTATTCAAATCGGCAACGGGTCAATCTCAAAACTGTTCCCTATCCTGTGTGTGTCATTATTTCTGCAGTAGTTACACAAAGAGCCAAACAATTCGGGGGGAAATGTCTAATGTAATGTGTTAAAGTAGAGCATTACCACATAAGACACAATCAAAGGCATCCCTGTCACACAGGGAGGATGGTATGAATCTGTAAAACTAGTGGCACAAAGCTTTAAACACGAGGTCGGTTGCGCTGCAAAATCAAACAGGTGTAGCTGTTGGGCTTGTAATGGGCTTGTTTCAGACAGACCAGTGTGCATACCTGAACCACATAGTATGCATTAATCAATGGGCAAGCAAAAACAGCACCTGGAACTTTCAATGCGCTCGAGTTAATGAAATGAAATTAAAGCACTAGTCTTACTATGTGATGGCCGCACTTGATATATCCTGAAATGCAGTCATTACAATTTGCTTTGTTTTAAATTGCAGTTCTGATCTTAAAGTCAATTCATTGTTCAGCCCTAATATAAATATCTGACATCTCCTCTCTTTTTTTAAATGCTAATACATTTCATTCACAACAGGGTCATGTATTTTTTCCACAAACATGACTCCAGCAGAGGGGATTTGTGCATTTATTAGGAGCTTCTTTGTTGTGGTGAATTTGTCCACGTTAATGTGTGATTTTGGTCTGTTGATGGGGATTAAATGACACAAAAGAAAACAATATATCCAGTCTTATTCTTTCAGACATGAAAAAATCACCCGTTTGGCTTTTCTACAGACCAAGCAGTGTAGAAATCAGACCTTTGAGGGGGTTTTTCATAGCATGGAAATACGGCTTTAAATTCTACTTTTAACCAACAGTGAGCAGCAACAAGCTGGAAATCCGCCCTGATAACAGGACATCAGCTCGGTTTCATGTCTTACCGTGTTGGTTAGAAAGTGTCTGGCTGTCTTCACTGTTCATATTCTGGACTGGAAGTCATTTCAACTCTCACAATGACCCACAGACAACTGACAGACACTCGGAGAGAATAATGATGCAGCTCCTCAAACCCACTGGATGTTCATTCAAGACACGACAGCACGAGTCCGACAACTAATTACTATACATTATTCAATCCACTGGGTCACAGAAAGCTTTGTACCCAACAATAAAGACAGTTTTAACAAGGAATAGTGTTTGTATTGAGTTTGTTGTGCGTCAACTTGCCAGGCTGGCTAGCTCCTAGCATTGCTCACCATTTAACTTCATTGCTAACATAAGCTGATGATAGCTACCGTTAACTGCCATAAATCACTGCTCAAACCGTACGAAAAAGCATTTTTTGGGGACCGTCACAAGCCAGTCCGTTTTCACTTCACTGTCAGCAAGCAACAACCTGACGAAAGGTAGCCAAATGTCGACATGTTAACTTTGGTTAGCAACTTAACCGCATCAGCTGAGCAGCGATGCTAGCTAACTTAACGAAGCTAACTAGTCAACACGGCTAGCTTGAGTTCGTGTGATAGGAAAAGAGCTCTTGGACTGTCCGTGTTGGATTTATGGCCAGTGGATCATGTGGGCTAAAATGTTATCCAACAGATGCAGAAGCAGCGTGAATCACAGCTTTACTAAATAATCCCCACTGCTGAGCCAACTCACCCCAACGACACACCGTCCATCCTCACGGAGTCAGACACCACAGCAGGCATGAGCGCGGAGCGGCCACACAGATCCTCTATGGCCGGGATGAGCCACTGCGGAGAGGAAAAACCACTCGAGCGCTTGTGTGCTCTGCCACAACAAACCCGCTACTACTACTTGTTGGAATTTTTTACATATATTACAGCTTTAACAGTTATGAGAGCAACTGGACTTCTTTCTTTTTTTTTGGTTCTTAAAGACATTTCTATTCTCAGTGGGCATATTTCGTTCTACCTGACTGACGGGGAACCCCAGATAAATATTGTCACCCCAACTAACAATCATTGGCTTATTAGAAACCACATGCCTGGAGGTATGAGTGGTTCTGAAACTGTCTGCTCAGGGATGACTCAAGATGTTACTGGTGGTTAAACTTGGTGGGGAGAGATCTCAAGACTGCGGCATTAAGTACCTGACAGGTGGCATCATGGATCTTCTCTCTGTTCTGAGAGATGGTTGTTCCAGGTGACCACAGACGGCTTCCTTCACTCCTCTCCTAAACTATCTATCCTCTCTCTCCAGAACTTGGACATAAAACTTGGACACAAAGAGTGTACCTCATCTTTTTGACGCAAGTGGACAGTGGAGTCTGGTGGTCCCGTGTGCCATGTGCTTGTGGGGTGGTTGTATCGTCTCCCATATATATTGATTCAGATATAGATGTCTGCACACTCGTCACTGCATTGGAGTGAATATACATCTTTGCTCTGCTTGCATGTAGGTGTGTTTTTATATATTACAGCTTCAACAGTGCTAAGAGCTTCAGCAGACAGCAACTACACTTATCTTTTTGTACTTAAAGACATTTGAAGCCTCTTCAGTTATAACCGACTGATGGGAAGTCCCAGACACACACTGTTATCTGAACATGGCCACTGGCACATGAATGACTCATTATTCACCTGCCTGTAGGTGTGAATGGTTGTGCAGTTGCCGGGCCACATACAGTAGAGCTCCATGTGTTAATGGTGGTGAAACTTTATGGACACATCTCAAGCCTGCATGAAATGTACCAGACATGTGGCGTTGTAGACCCCCTCCTATGTTTAGAGATGGTTGTTCCAGTTTTACATACAGTTGTGAACAAAAGTTTACATACACTTGTAAAGACCAGGATGTCACAGCAGTCCTGAGTTTCCAGTCCCTCTTAGAACTCAGATTTTTTATCATCATTAAAAGACATGTCCTTGTTGTCACAAAACACACACACAAACAATGACGCATTTAGTTTGTTTGTTTTCTTCATAGATTTAATACAGATCATCTGGAAATATAACTGCTGGGTCAAAAAAAATACACACAGCAACATGAATGACCAGTTTTGGTGCTGTACAAAGTGGTGTTAATGAAAAATGAGCTCAACTGAAGTTTGCTGCTGACCACATATACAAAGAAAAGGCCCCTGGATTAAGAGTGCTGGTTAGATGAAACAAAAAAAATGAGCTATTTGACCACAATGACCAGCAATATGTTTTAAAGAGAAAAGGTAAGGCCTTTAATCTCCAAAAGCACCAAATCAACCATCAAGCACGACGGTCGTGGTATTATCCTCTGGGGCTGTTGTGATGCCAGTGGAACTGGTGGTTTACTCAAAGTAAATGAAATAATAAAAAGGGAGAATTACCTTCACATTCTTCAGAAAAACCTCAAATGATCAGCTACAGGATTGGATCTTGGACGCAGTTGAGTGTTCAAAGAAGACAATGAGCCCAAATGTGGTTAAAAAAAAAAAAGGCAAAATCAGGCTAGAATCAGGGTTTTAAACTGGTTTCCATAAAGTCCTGACTGAATCCCATTGAGTACCTGTGGACTGTGCTGAAGGAGCAAGTCCTTATCAGAGAACCAACAAATTTAGTTTAACTGTATCAAGTTTGTCAAGAAGAGGGGTCAAACATACAACCAGAAGATTGTAGATGGCTCCAAAAAGTGTCTAGTTGAGGTGTGACCGCCAAAGGACATTTAATCAAATATTAGTGTTGTTGTGTATATATTTTTAACCCGGCAGATTTCTGGAAGACTGATCTTAAATCTATCAAATAACCAAAATGTGTGATTGTTTTGGAGCTGTAGGAATCCATGAAACTCAAGACTGCCATGATATACGTGGTCTTGACAAGTATGCAACCTTTTGCTCACAAAGGAAGGTCAGTGAACTCCTCACTGCATTTGACTGCATATACAGCTTTACTGAGCTCGCGTGTGGGCATTTCATCCTTATAGTAAGGGAAACATATGAATATCTGACAACTAAATCGTTACCAAACAATTTCTTCACCAATATGTTTGTAAAGGTGTAATAACATGTTTTAAAATGCTGACGTTCAACTTCTGTGGGAAACCCTGAAAAAAACCTGCTCAAGTTAGGGAACCAATCAATGATTGTCAAAAAATTGTTGTTGTTTTTTGGTTTGTTTGTTTGTTTTGTTTTGGGTTTTTTTTAAATCGCCTTTAAATAACTTATGAGGGGTCAAATCAGGGTTTTTTTTTATGATTCTGAGCTGATTTTTGACATTTATATTTCACCACAAACACTCCATTGTTGACTTTTACATTCACAGTAGCTTTTATTTCACATACTTATATAATACTCATTTTTTTCTCATTCACAGTGTCAGAAGCTTCAAGAGTCATTGTCTGTGTCTTCTTCAGACTTGACACCTAATGTCCATCCACAGTCACCTGGGTTCAGAGACCTGCTCTGTAGAAGGATCTAGTCCCAGGTCTGCACGGAGTGAATGCTGAGCAGCTGCACCCTCTGTTAGAGGTAGACTCTCTGGTTTGATCACTCCTGCCGCCACCTTCCTTGAGAACGTGTTGTACCAAATTTCACCCAATTTAGTATCTGGTCCATGATAAATGTGCTGGAAAATCGCTGTACCAGCCTGAATCACC